AACAATATACTGTTCCTTCGACTCTGGCTTTCCCAAGACTTCTCCCATCTCCTACGGAACCGGGCCTGGAAGATTGTAGCTGTTAGGATTAACCATCTTAGCCTTAACTCCTATAAGCCTTCCCTGCTGTGTGGGTTCGACTCCCACCGAAGCCGCGAGTTTTTCACAGTTGGGACAACTGAAATTACTGAAACCTGTCCAACCCCTAATAATTAGCATTTCTGTCCTCTATTGCAGTGTCCTCTTGCAGTGTATTAGCCGGAATAGAATCCGAACAACTACATCTACCGACGCAAGCAATTCCGCTGGGCAAAGGAAGAAGAATAACGAATAAAAAGACGGTAACACGAAATCTGAAATTAGGCGTTGAAGTATTTCCTTCAATTAACAGAAACGAGGGACCATAGGAGGACCGATGGACCGTCCTCCTTCCGACCTAGTAGCACCGAAGTACTCTCATTCGACCTCATATGTGTTACCATGTCTTGTTCGAAAGTCGGTGAAATATGTTGCTCTGGTCCAAATCCTGCTCAAATTTTCACGTTCAAGATGGCCGGCATATAAGGAATAGGTGTAAACTTGGTGCATTGACGAAAAAGCCATACAGAATCTGCCCAAACTGTGAGATCTAGGGAGGTCTCCTGTTGAAAATCTGAGCTGTTTTGACCAACGTTCACCGACCGCTAACGGAACCCACTGGTCTCGCTCCGTCTTGGGTCGCGATTTCGAGCCTAAGGTAGCGCACCACTTGGAGCTGGGTATGACTGGCTGATGACGGTTTATAAGCCAGAAATGTCTTTATCGGCAATACTATCTGCATTTGAGCTGTATCAGGACACAGAGGCATACGCTAGTGCTATGCTACTAAAGTGTTGCCAACACGAATCATGACGCGAAGTAGAACCGAAAGTGGACACCGCAATACCTCATTTTGCTCAATTCCGGCAGCTCGAATTCTGAAAACGCAGATTCAGGTCTTCGAAGGAGCACCAGTTTTAACCGAGATGTAATCTTAAAAAATTCGAAAATGCAGTAAAAATCGGCCCTTTGGGGAGCGCGTAACTGGACAGTTCATTTAACTTTATTTTTCACGAGATACGATGGTAACTCCTCAATCCACAAACAGTGGACTGAGGATTGAGAGAGTTTGACCCGTAGGAATTTAAAAATAGGCCTCCCAAGAAATATAATTAGAGAGAAAAAAGATTTTTTGAGAAACAGGAACGAACTCTATTGTAAATTTTCGATGCTGACACACCAGGTCGTCGTCTGTCTTGAGGGAAATGTGTAAAGAACGTTAGGACTTTGACCCTTTAAATGCGACCTGAAAAATACTAGTTGAATAAAAATTGAACTGGCGCGCGGGGGACATACAAACTTCAGAAAATGGGAAAGGGAGAGTGAAAAAGACAGAGATATGATGGGGGGGGGGAATTAGCTGGGGTTAAAAGTGCCTATGTGCTTCATTCCATTCGTTGGTAGCAACGAATAATCAAAGTGCAAAGGAATGAAGTGGGAGGGGAAACCAAAGTAGTGATGGGCGCCCGTAAAGCCCTTTCGAGAGTGGTAAGAACAAAGAAGGACAACTAAATTAAGCAGCACTGAAAAAATAATTAGGGAAGAAAGAGCAGGAAATCATTTTAAGTAATTACGCCAAATGTGCACATCCCAGGTATGTGAGTAGATGGAGAAGTAAGAATGTTTATGACCGCCGGAATAATACTTTCA